GCTGCTGGGTCCTGCCGTGAGAGTGGGCTCGGCGCCCACTCGGGCTTTCTTACAGCTGCAAGAGACACCCCCGGCCATGTCACTCCCAGAGCCCACCTGGGACTTGGAGGCAGCTTTGGAGATGGGGGGGAGGGGTATGCAGGGGATGGGGTATGGAAAGGGGCGGGACCTCGCTGAAGAGGCTGGAGGGCTTGCTCTAGTGCTAGGAGCACCTGGGAGGAGTTACAGTGCGGAGGGGGTCAGGAGGAGGGAAAGGAGACGAGGCGGAGCTGGGGGACCCGGACAGTTAAAGCTGAAAGGGGGAGTACCGGCTGGGAGAAGGTGGCGAAGCAGTACCGGAGGGTGGGAGGGGCAAGGCTGATATTCGGGGCCCTTGGTGGAAGCGAGGCGACTTCTCCCCTCTATCCCCAGAAGCTCGTAGTCAGGAATTCTCTGCTGTGACATTCTCCCGAAGGGCCAGTCTGTCGGAACCCGGCCCAGCAGTCTCTGCGTCTCCCCCTCCCTTCCCGGGGGTGGAAGGGGCCAGGGGGTGGGGCCAGAGAAAGGGTTGGGGTATCCCAGCCGGTCCCCCACCAATCGCCGCCCCACATTTCAGCTGCGAGAACTGATGGACGCCGCCACCGCTCACCTCGGGGGCTCTTTGCCGGCTGTGCGCCGAGATCCAGGCTGAGGCGGAGATCTGGAGCCCTCGGCACCCTCCTCTCCAGCGGGGCCGGTGGGGAGCGGCCGCTGCGCTACCCTCTGGGGAGGGGGAAAGAGCGGGCGCAAACCCCGCGGGCCCTAGAACTGGGCGGGGGCGGGGGGGGCGGACAGACAGCCAGCTCCTCGCGCAGCGCATCCATCCTCAGAGGCTTGGCCAGGACTCTTTTAAGACCCCTTTCTAGGGTTTCCAGTCCTGGCGCATCTGGGAAGGGGACCCCTGCCCGGCCGCGCCCCGCCCCCCGGCCCCCGCCCCGCCGACGTCGCATTAGCATGAGCGACGCAAGTGGCCCGGGCACCACTCGGGGGCCGAGACTCGCCGCGTCACAGCCCCGAGTGGAAAGGAAAAAAAGAGGAGGCGGCGGAGGAGGAGGCAAGAGCCGACGCGAAGGGAGGGGAGAGCGGCGGCTGGGCGAGCGAGCGGGCGGGCGGGCGGCAGCAGCATGCCCCTCGGCCCGCGCGGGCGGCTTTTCAACGCTTCGGGGACGGCGCCCGGGGAGCCGGAGGCGCAGCGTGCTCAGTCTCTGGCCCTGGCCCCTCGGCGCGCCCGCCTTCCCTGATCGCCCCTGAGCCCAGCAGCGGCGGGTCCGGGCTCGGCTCCGAACAGCCGCGGCGTCTCGAGGGACGACAGGGTCTTTGCCTTTCCCGGGACACAGGGCCATGAGCCCTGCAGCCACCTGAGACACAGGGGGCGCTGCGCCGCGCGGACCGCGCCCGCGAAGTTAGGTGCCCGGGTCTCTGCACTGCAGGGCGCCCGCGCCCGGCCCCGGCGGAGGCGTCCTCGGAAGAGCGGCGGAGTAGAGGCAATGGAACCCGCGGCGTCCGTGGGCCCGGCCCGGGCGGCAGCCATCAAGCTGTCGGAGGCGATGGGCGCCGTGCTGCAGGATCCCCGGCGGCAGCGGCGCCTGGTGCTGGTCATCGTGTGCGTGGCGCTGTTCCTGGACAACATGCTGTACATGGTCATCGTGCCCATCGTGCCCGACTACATTGCCCACATGCACAAGGCCGGCAGGCCCAGCCCGAACACCGAAGTGTCCACCCTGCAGCCGTCCCCTCCAGCCACTGGCAGTGCCAACATGGGCAACACTTCAGAGTCCCCGAAGACAGCGACGGAGAGTGAGGACGTGAAGATCGGGGTGCTGTTTGCCTCCAAAGCCATCCTGCAGCTGTTGGTGAACCCCCTGAGCGGGCCCTTCATTGACCGCATGAGCTACGACGTGCCGCTGCTTATCGGCCTGGGCGTCTTGTTCGCCTCCACCGTGCTGTTCGCGTTCGCGGAAGACTATGCTACGCTCTTCGCTGCGCGCAGCCTGCAGGGCCTGGGCTCAGCCTTTGCGGATACATCCGGCATTGCCATGATCGCGGACAAGTATCCTGAGGAGCCCGAGCGCAGTCGCGCGTTGGGCGTGGCGCTGGCCTTCATCAGCTTTGGAAGTCTAGTGGCGCCACCCTTCGGGGGCTTTCTCTACCAGTTCGCGGGCAAGCACGTGCCCTTTCTGGTGCTCGCCGCTGTTTCGCTCTTCGACGCGCTGTTGCTGCTGGTGGTGGCCAAGCCCTTCTCCGCCGTGACGCGGGCGCGGGCCAACCTGCCGGTGGGCACACCCATCCACCGCCTCATGCTGGACCCTTACATCGCCGTGGTGGCCGGGGCGCTCACCACCTGCAACATCCCCCTTGCCTTCCTCGAGCCGACCATCGCCACGTGGATGGAGCACACGATGGCGGCGTCTGAATGGGAGAGGGGCATGGCCTGGCTGCCAGCCTTTGTGCCGCATGTGCTAGGCGTCTACCTCACCGTGCGCCTGGCGGCGCGCTACCCACACCTGCAGTGGCTGTACGGAGCCCTCGGGCTGGCAGTGATCGGAGCCAGCTCCTGCGTGGTGCCTGCCTGCCGCTCCTTTGCACCACTGGTGGTCTCGCTCTGCGGCCTCTGCTTCGGCATTGCGCTGGTTGACACGGCACTGCTGCCTACGCTCGCCTTTCTCGTGGACGTGCGCCACGTCTCGGTCTACGGCAGCGTCTATGCCATCGCCGACATCTCCTATTCCGTGGCCTATGCGCTCGGGCCCATAGTGGCGGGCCACATAGTGCACTCGCTCGGGTTTGTGCAACTTAGCCTTGGCATGGGACTGGCCAACCTGCTCTACGCGCCGGTCCTGCTGCTGCTGCGCAACGTGGGCCTCCTGAGGCGCTCCCGCTCGGAACGCGATGTGCTCTTGGATGAGCCACCGCAGGGTCTGTATGATGCTGTGCGTCTGCGTGAGCGCCGGGTGTCTGACCGGGACGGCGCGCCTCGGAGCCCTCCCGCCCCTTTTGACGAGTGCGAGGACGTCTACAACAATTACTACGCCCGCAGCTAGCAGCCCCGCTACTCCTCCAGGCCACCCACCCACTCCCCACCCCTGGGTCAAGATGGCTACTTTGTGAGAGCACTGACCATCTCCGGCTCTGGGCCCGCCCCTTCCAACGAGTATTCCACAGCCTCGCCCGTCTTGACTTCCCTGTCGGGATCCCCTCTCTATGACCCCTTCCGTGCCTCCCTCCCTCTCGTCCTGTGGGGCGTAGAGCACGGAGGCACACGATGCGATACGGTCCTGCAGAGATAAAGAGGTGCGCGAGGCGCCACCTCGGGGCTCTCCTGTGTAGAACCGTGCGTCTGTCTGTCTTTCCTTCCGTTTCTCTCAGTGCCAAGTTGGCCCCCTCCACCGCGGTGCTTCTGGCCCGAATCAATAAACTATATCTGTTCGAGACCGAGTCTCTTTACTGATGAGGGTGGGCGGCCGGGCACAGGGCCAGGGCAGAGGGGAGGGTGAGCGGTGTCTAGCCCTAATCCAGGTCTGAGCCTGGCAAGCACTCGGAAAGCCTGTGGCTCTTTTGCTACCTGATAGAGGAGATACGAAAAAAAAGCAAACCCAGCAAAGGCTCCCACCCTCGGACACCCTGTAGTACACGACTTCTGCTCGCGACAGCCCCTCCCTCCCAGCCCCAGCGCAGCGCCCTGGGGCGCCGCCCGGGGGAGCCTGAGGACCCGCTCCCTCAGCGGGCGCTAGGCCCCGCCCCTTGAGGACACTCCCGGTGTCAGACTCTGAGCTCTGAAGGCCGGGGCTGGGCTTCCCTTCGAGCCCGGCATCCCGGCTTGTCCAGGCTCCGGTGAGGAGTAGGGGCCGAGCTGTTCCGGACAGAGGTCCCCTCAGTCTTGTGTGTTCGTTGGAGAGCCAGGCACTATCCTTCGAGGAGTGGGGGAACAGTTGGTGTGCCTGCTGTGTCCTGGCTGTGCGGGTCTGAGTCGTGACTGAAGAGGGTGCCAAACCCCACCCTCTTACCCCCACCCTTACCCCGGCCTTGGTGGATGCAGCTGGCCAAGGCTGTCAGAAGTCTCCCCACCTTGAGTGCGGGTCTCCGGAGCTGCAGGCCCCCGTTTGCAGACCACTCCCAGTCCTGGAGCCTGCGGCCTGATGAAGGCCGAAGAGCCCTCCAATTCTGGCATGGAGAGGCAGCAGAGTTGGGGTACGCCTGTGTATTAAACAATGCCTGTGAGAGTCTTCACTGCTGGTGTGTGCACGTCTGTCCTCGGTCTGCGTGTTGGGCTGTTGTGTGTGTTTGTCTGGGCAGGGTCTGTCTTTGTGGGTCTGTCTGTGTGTGTTGGTGTGTAAGGATCTATATCTGGGGTGGCGGTGGGGGGAGGAGTGCTTTGTCTGGGAGGAGTGTCTGCCTCTGGCTGCGTTTCTGTAAGCATCCTCAGGTCTGTATCTCCACTCCCCCCCCCACCCCCCCGCCCCATAGTGCCAGCAAGGATGGGGTGGGAATAGAAAAGGAAGGAGAACCTGCAGTGATCAACAAACAGGATGATGATGATGGTGATGATGATCATCATCATTTTGAAAGGAGTTGTATGATTTGAGCCTGGCCTAGACGGCGGGGAGGGCACAGATTTCCCCAGACCCAACCCTCCCCAGGGTTGTGCAGACGCAGCGGGGGCTAGGATAATGGAGTTGGGAGAGCGCCGGGACTGGGGAAGGCTGGGCAGGGGGCAATGGGCCTGGGCGGGGCAACGTTCTGCACCCGCTTCTCGGGCCTGGATTCCGCTGCCCTTACACAAACTCGTCCGGGAAGCCGTCCGAGCCAGGGCAGGGGGCCGGGAGGTGGGATCGCTGCAGGCGGCAGCGGGGGTGGGGGAGAGGACTCAGAGCGAGAGAGACGGGGTGGGGCTGAGGGAGGGAGGGGAAAGGAGAGAGGGGAGGGAGGAGGAACAGGAGGAAGGCGATCACAGGCGCGGCCGGTCCGCGGACAGCCAGTAGGGAGGCCGCGGAGACCCGGCGACGTCGGAGCCGCTACCGCGGCAGAGGCCCCCACCCCCGTACTGCCGACGCGCCCCCGGATCCCTTCCGGCCCACACTCCCGCCCCCAGTCTTGCTTGGTGCAGTGGAGCGGCGGCCAACGCGGCAGCGCCGAGGGCAGGTGAGAGGGGCTGCGCTGGAGCAGCGTGGCGCGGGGAGCAGAGCGCAGGAAGCCGAGGGCGGGGGAGGAAGGCTCCGTCTAGGGAACGCGCCGGGATCCAGAGGCCCCGGGATCCGCGGGATTTTCCGAGTCCTGAACAGAAGCGGCCGTCGGGGAACCGCCGGGAGACTGTGGGATTCCGCGGCTCTGGCGCTTCCCCCCGTAGAGTGGAGGCAGGGGGCCCGGGGGCAGGACGGTGAGAAGTTAGGGGTAAAGGGCTCGGAGAGGCTTGACCATCAGGCTCCGCGACTCCACGTGAGTATCCTTACTTCTCTATTCTCCTGGATCCCCAACTGCTCAATGCCGAGGTCTGCACTTTCTGTGCCCAGTCAGGGCGTTGGCAGGTCTCACCCGGACCCCTGTGAATTGCGGTTGCGCACCCGACTGTCTCGGAGGGCTGGAGGTGGGGAGTAGCCTCAGGTGGCAAGTGTGAGCTGGGTTCCAGGGAGTCCCTAGAGAGCAGGGACTGCCTGTGTTGCGGAGGCAGAGCTGGGATTGGGCCACCAGGGCAGAGCAGAGACCCCTCCTGGCAGCCTTCGGAAGCCAGGCTGGTGGCAGCATGGATCAGAGGGCACCAAACAGAGACAGACAGAAAGATACACTTACCTACAGACATACACTTCCTAATTGCCAGCCCATGGGCCAAAGAGGAAAAGCAGGCGGCTGCCCGGCAGGGACCAGGCCCTCCCGTTTGGTCCCCAGGATGTTACCGCGCTCCAATCTCACACCTCTCCAAGATATTGGGGTCTCCAGCCGCACTAGGGCCTTTACCAACTTGACCTTGCCTTCACCAACCTTTCAGACCTCTGCAGCCCTGCGAGGGACCCTAACTTGGATGCCGCTGCTTCCATTTTGCAGGGTGTCAGGGCAGCTACTATGCTGTTCAGCAGCTTGGGGGACCACCTAGTCAGTAGCATCCTGGCACAGAGTTAATGTGGGTTCTGTATTTTCTGCCTAGTCCTGCCCAGCAGCCCCAGGCTCCTCCATTTCTGAGACTGCTTCATACATCTTCCTGGATGCTCTGTCCTTGGGTCAACTGTGCCTGGAGCCTAGCCCCCACCTGGGCTGTGCTTGCCTGGGGTGGCGGGTGGGGGGTAAAATGGGCTAAACGTCAGCTTTAGGCTCTTGCGGGTGAATAGGGGATGGGTGAGTGGAAATCACGGGTGTGTGGCTCTTAGGCTCTGCTTAGGGGGTTCGCTGAGGGTAGAGGGTAGCCTTAAAAATAGGCCTTTGCCCTTCTTGTCCTGGGTCACTTCTACTGCAAATAAAAAATTAATCAATTTCTCTCCAGGCTGAGTCAGGTGACCCCCAGGGGTGAGACTGCCCAGCTGCCCCGTACTGTCCCTCAGCATTTCCATGCTACACTAGGAGCCTGCAAACCAGATTGCCTAAGTCACAGTCCATCCAGCAGGCCCCAGGGTCCTCTACCACAACCCCTGCCTTGGCCACAGGCCAGGCTCCCGGTCAGCCCAGAGTGTGTCCTGGAGCCCACAGCCTTAGAGGACCTATATTCATTCAGGCATGTGTGCATTCCTTTTATTCAGCTACCCAGCCCTGATCCTACTCCATGCTCATCACCCGGCTAGGTCCCAGAGATGAAGCACTGAGCACAACAGGAGAAGCTCACAGTCTAGTAGGAGAGATTTTAATCAGCAAAACATGTGTCTGTTGGGTCCCAGGCAGGAACAAAGCAAGTGCTCTGCCAAGGACCCCTCATGACTTGGAGTGAGCCAGCTCAACTCTGCTCCTTCCCGCTCTGGCCTGGGGTGGTCAGTTGAGCCTGGGTGACAATCTTATGGAACAGGTGTCAGCTAAAGGCTTGCTTCAGACCCCACTCTATCTTATTTGGGATCTCAGAAAGGACACTGTGGTCAGGGGGGCTGCTCTGGGGGGTGGGAGATTGGGAGCAGGTCTAAAATGAGGTCCTGTGTAATTGGGGCCCACATCCAGCTCTGGCTTCCTCACAGGGTAGGCGTGGAGTGTCAGGCTCTGGGAGGTGAAGGGTCCGTGGCAGTTCTATGTGGCTATTGCATTGATGACTCTCTGCTTCTTGGTCCCCAGGTCTGCACCTCTGCTTCCCCAGCCAGGAGTCACCAAGATGCCCATCCTGGAAAAAGCTCCCCAAAAGATGGCAGCAAAACCTCCCAGCAGTGAGGAGGAGCCTGTGAGTGACTTTTGGAGTCCTGTTTCTTATCCCTGCCCTCCCCACCCACCTACCTTTGCTTCCAGAATAGTCCTGTATAGGACTGGCCCCCAGCACTTGCCTGGCCACCAGTCCTGCCCTCGGCTGGGCATGAAGTCCAGGCTGTAGTCCTGCCCTGAGCCCGCTGAGGAGCCTGGGAGAGCCTGGAGGGGCGGGGAGTGACTTCAGGGGATGTTGAAGAAATGCTGACTACCATGCTTCCTAACTCTCACGGCCAGGAACAGCCTTTGACCTGGGCCCAGGTACTCTTCTCCCAAGGCTTTTCCCTCTCCCCAAGTTTCACTTCCAAAGGCTTTGAGCCCAGTGGAGTTGCCTTAGGGTAAGACTGAACTCTCTAAGCCTTGTCATATCCCAGCTCCAGCTGCTGTCCCTTGTTCAGTCCTGGGGCCTTAGGCACCATCTTCCCCACTGGCTTAAGACAATGCCACCCCTCCTTAGGCAGGCGTCCTCCCTCCCCATCTTCCTAAGTGATGGAGCAGCACATCTGATCTCCAGGTTGTTGAAGTGTTGGCCCTCTGCCACGTTTGTCTTCTTGCCACCTCTACCCAGGGCTTCATTTGAAACCCTAATCAGAACTTTCGGGCTTCTCCCCGTGAAATTGCTCACCACATTGTCCTGACTGTTACAGTTGACAGACATTTCTGTTGTTGAGTGTGGTCTATGGCATGTCCCTCCCATTGGACTGGGGCTTCCTTGAGAGCAGGCCTTCTTTCTCCATTGTCCCTGAGTCCAGTCCAGGGCCTGGCTCACATGAACTGCCCATGAAATGTGTACTGACCTGAGACCTTAGTGTCCAAAGACCCTCATTAGTACACGTCCCTGTCTCCAGCCCCAGGCATGGGCCAGCAGCCCATGAGAGTCTGGGGAGGAGCCCCAGGGGGCTGAGACAAGTAAGCCAAGATTTCCTGCCTCATTCCATTTTACCCATCACCGAGTCCCCATGACTGAGTCCCAGCACACTGTCAGAGCCCTGAGGAAGGGTGGCCTGTTTCTAGCAGGGGCTCCAGCCAGGCCGCTGACACTCTTGGCAAAGCCACCAGCTGGGCTGGGCTTTCTGCAGGTACCTGCCCACTTGCCCTCCACACAGACCCCCAGACCACAAGAGAAGGAAGAGGGAACCAGAGCGGCTGGGTGGGGGGCCTGGACCTGGCTCCCTTGAAGTGGGCTAAGCAACCTAGAATGCTGCCCAGACCACCCTCGTCCTTGAGCATTCCTTGGGGCATGAGCAGCCTATAGTTAGCACTGACACCCTCTTCCCTCCCCCTTGGGCAGTGAGCTCTAAAGACAGGATCAGGCAGGCAAGGACTCCCATTCATTCGTCAGCACAGGTTCCCAAGCTTGGTCCCTGTCTGCCCAGGGTGGCAGTGGGGAGGGCTCCAGTCCATGCAGCAGCAGGAACAGAGCAGAGGCAAGCTTTCAATGGGTCCCTTTACTCCACAGCCTACCCCCACCACCCCAAAGGGAAAAAACCCCTGAAAGAAGGTGGCCCCCTACCACCAACTTTGTAAACTTGAATCAGTACTAGGAAAAGTCGTGGTTTCTGACTGTGACTAGCTCAGTGAGGAAGAAGGAAAAGGAGGGGATGGAAGGAGCCAATCTCTCCATCAGTGTTATGCCCTTTGGGTCCAGAGATAAACTAGCTTCTGAAGCCCCAGCTGGGAACAACTCCTAAATTAAGAGTGACCAGCTGCCAATATCAGTGACAGATCTCTTTCACCTTAGACTCATTCTTTGTGGTTTAAAAGGATCTGTTGGATCCTATGAGAGGTAGAGGCTATTACCCCCATTTTACAGGGGAGGACACTGAGGTACAGAGGTGAGGTGGTTTGCTTAAGATCACATGGCTTGTCAGCATCATGGTCAGTGCATGAACCCAGACCTGTCTGGTGCCAACATCAAGGTCTTTTCCTCTACACTTTTATCTCCTCCTGGGGGCAGGCCTGGGGTATTAGAAAAAAACAAACAGAAGCTTCCTCAGGTCATAATTCTGCTGAGCCAAGTCCTGGAATTAGGCAAGACCCAAGACAGGGAACAAGGTTAGGGACAAATGGAGACATACTCTGGAGACCAACTTGGGGACAGGCATAGTCTTATGGATCCTACATAAGAACAGGCATAGCAAGTGCCTGTGAACTCTTTCTTCTAGGAGTTGCCCAAACTTCCAGTGCCCCCTCTGCAGCAGACCCTGGCCACTTACCTGCGATGCATGCAGCACCTAGTACCTGAGGAACAGTTCAGGCAGAGCCAGGCCATTGTGCAGCGGTTTGGGGCCCCTGGTGGCCTTGGTGAGACCCTGCAGCGGAAGCTCCTGGAACGACAGGAGAAAACAGCCAATTGGGTAAGAGTTGTTGAGAGGGGGCCGACCGCCAAGAGGGGGCAGTGCAGGCAAGGGACCCACAGGGTGGGGGGCAGGGAGCAGACATGGAGACAGGGATTTGGATGAGGGGCAGGTAGGTAACAAGGCTGGGACAGATGGGAGGATAGGGAAGAGAGGAGAAACAAGGGGATGTGGAGGGGCAAGAATGTGGGCTGGACAGGATGTGGGATGGGGGGTAGGGATGGGGACCAAGAGGGGACAGACGGGAATAGAGATGAGGTGCTGGGGAGAGACAGGGCCTAGAGATGGAAAACCGTGGGGGTCAGGGAAGGGGGACAGACAGGGACAAGGATGGAGGACAGATGGGGGGCAGATGGGGGGCATAGGAGATAGAAACCGGGCAATAGGGGAAGACAGGGTACAGAGTTGGAGACAGGTGGGGCACAGGGATGGGGCAGCAGAAGGTAGAGCTAAGTTCAAGGAAGCAAAGAAAGGGGGAAAAGCAGGAACAGGACACACATAAGGATGGGCCGGGGCCAGGGATGAAGTATCAAACACCTCGAATAGGAAACCGGGATGGAAGAGAGGGGTGGCATGGGGCAAAGGTGAAGGTCAGCCACGGCAAACTGGAGAGCCCACAGGTCCTAGCACATAAGTGGGGCTCAGTGTGTATTTGTGGAATGAATGAATGAAGTGCATGATCCAACAAAGTGTCCCAGTCATCCCTTGGGGCTGTCAGGATGGGACTGGTGCTCTCCACAGGGGTGTGTATGGCCACCGGGGGTAATGGCACCCCTCCCGTGCTCCCCAACAGGTGTCTGAGTACTGGCTGAATGACATGTATCTCAATAACCGCCTGGCCCTGCCTGTTAACTCCAGCCCAGCTGTGATCTTTGCCCGGCAGCACTTCCAAGATACAAACGACCAGCTGAGGTGAGGCCACTATGCTCCTGGGTTCACAGCTTGAGAGTGCCTGGAGCCTGGCCCCAGGACCAGAAGGGAAAGGTCCAGGCTTGTGCCTTGGCTGAGCTTCCTGAGGACAAACGCCCCCGAGACAGAGGCCGTCCAGGCCATGGGTCCGGGAAGTAGGTTAGATGAGGTTGCTATGTGAGTGACAAACACAAGGTCTTCCTCGAACATATTTCCTCAGGGTGGGGTGGGCAGTAGTGGAGGCCACGGGCCCCCGTTCCCATGGCATTCTTGACCTGGCTGAGGCCCTGGAAGGAGGAGTGTACCCTCTGACCCCACAGGACCTGAGGCTGGTGCTTGTCACTGGGACACACTGCCCCAGGTTGTCTGAGAGGACCTCCTTTGAGCCCCCACCAGCCCCTGGCTCTAAACAGAGGCTCCAAGGGGGTGGAAACGGTTCCTTCCTGCAGCTGCCGCCGCCAGAGCCTCTGCCATCTGCTGTAATTTCAGGGCTCACTGAGCCACTGGAACGGCCTCTGGGCCCACTGATGTTGATGGGGGGGGTGCAGTGGGTGAGCATTTATGCAGGGATGTGGCAGGGAGGAAGGGTCTCCCTACAGGAGTCTCTTAGACCCACACCCAATGTGGCACAGCATGGGGACAGTTCAGAGAGGAAAAACAAAAACAAACAAAAGAGGCAGGGCCTACCTGGGCCTATGGGCAGGGCTCGGCGATGCTGGGAAGACCCCCATCCCCTCCTTCCTCACCGGGACTAGCCCAGTGGAGCTGCTGGGTAGCCTGCAGTCTCGACCTCCCGTGGGCAGAAGGAAGTGTGCAGATAGACGGATGAACAGCTTCTGAAAACAGTTCTCAAACTGCATCCAAGGGGGAATTTTCCTTCTGATGCAATTAAGCCAGGGTCATCGTCCGTGGACAGTTAACATGACACAGTCCTGTGGTATGGTTCTCTGGTAACTTTGTCCCCCCCCCCGCCCGGCACCCACTTCCATTTTCATTAGCACTAAGGGGACCAAATTCCCCCCCCCCCCCAGGAGACCAGATTTCCCCAAACCTGAGTTCCTGGCCCAGTCCAACCCCAGCACAGTTCTTCCCTAGGGAGAACCCCACCCCTGACCGTCCAGCCTTCTCCTGCCTGCTCTTCGGCCTCTCCCGACTTCCTCTCTCTCCTCCTCCTCATTCACCTTCCAGGGCCCTCTCCTCCCAGGTACCCCACAGGACCATTTTAATCCGAGGCTTGTGAAGTCCCAGTAGCGCAACAGCAGCGGTGGGAGGAGGGGTGGTTGTTGGGCTTGGGAGGGGTGGTATGGAGCGGAGGGAGAGGAAGGTTGAGAGAGGGAAGGAGCCTGGGCCCCTAGGAGGAGAACCTCAGGCCTGATCTCTCTCTGCAGGTTTGCAGCCAACCTTATCTCTGGGGTGCTCCATTACAAGACCCTGCTGGACAGGTAGGATGGGGCCGGCCTGGGGAGGGTAGTGCCCTGATTTGGCACAGCCTGTGGACTCATCTGTCTCCCTGCCACACTAGCCAAGGAACTTCAGAGGGCAGAGACCTGGTCTTTTTCCAGCTCTGTGCTCCCGGCTCCTGTCATAGAGAAGGTGGACTACCGCCCCCGCCGCCCCCCCCACCCCGTCCCAACTCCTCCAGCATCAGGATGACTTTTACCCCAGCTGACCCCCCCCTTAATGGGTCCTTTTCCTAGGATAAGCACTGACCTTCCATGATCTCTTTAAAATGCACCCCCCCACACACACACATATACACACTGTTATGTGCATCCGGAATTTAGGGAATGCCCCCCCAGGCAGAGAAGGAGTCATGGGAGTGAGGTGATTGATGGTGGGGAACGCCTTGCTAGTTGCCAACTGAGGGGAATCGTCTCCCCACGCTGAGCCTGCGTACCTGGCTTCAACCTCACTGGTTCCCTCTCCAGCTTGGACAGGTGCTCCTCAAATGATCTGTGCTGAAGGACCAATGTATTTTTTAATTTCGTAAAATGTAAAACACTACAAAAATGAATTCGCAGAAAAATAGTACAAAGGTACAAAATACACAGCCACATATTTTATTTTTATTTTAGACTCAACATACATAAAATTCCGCTGTCCAATTGCTATACAATTTTCTGAGAGCTCCCTCTGATTCCCACAGGTCAGTGCGGCACCCGCTCTTTGAGCAGCAGAGCCGTGGGGCACGCTACCCTCCCTCTGTCCCCGTTAAATCTCAGGGCTGCCTCTTACCCTCTGGGCTCAGCTCACACGGCCTGTCCTTGTCACCCTGTCTCATTACCCGAAACCCTCCCATTTATCCACTTGCTGCTTTTGTTGTCTCTGCTCTACCTACACATCCCAGGACCTGTGCCCCATTAGAACAGGAGACTCATGTTTTGTTTGCCACTCTCACCCCATATCCCAGAAAGGTGCCTGGCACGGAGGAGTGCTCCATGACATTTGTTGCCTGAAAGGGAGGAAGGAAGGAGAGGGAGAGGGGGATGGAGAAAGGACAAAGGAAAGAGAGGGAGGGAGAGAGAAAGAAGAGAAGGAAGGAAAGACAGAGAAAGGAGGGGGAGAGGGGAGAGAAGAATGGAGGAAAGAAGGAGAGAGATGGGGGAGGAAGTGGCGGAGGAGAAGTGTGGGGAGGGAGGAAGTCAAGAAGGACAAGATGTGCTAGACCACAGGAGAAAGAGAACTTCCTGCCTTGAGCTCAGAGAGGGCTTCTGGAAGATGTGATGGAAGGGCAGGCTCTTGAAGGGGTGGAAGGGGGTTTCTGAACAAATTCGTTGAGCACAGGGGTGGGGTCAAGGCAGGCCACGCGAAGATGAGCACGGGCGAGTGCACGAGGGTTGAAAGGCAAGTTCTGTTTGTGTAGTGCCCGAGGCAGGGGCGAGAGAGACCATCAGAGGCCTGAGAAAACCCCGAGGGGCTCTCCATGGGCCACGGAAATAGGGCACTCCGCTACTTCAAAGAGGGGAATCCAGCTCTTTGACGGCCATCCTAAAGCAGTGCTGGATTTTGCGCCCCGCTGTGCCGAATCAAGTCAAGTAGAACCAATTCCCATCCCTGCCTCCCTCTCCGCTCTCCAGCCACTCCATCCCTACTGACTGGGCCAAGGGCCAGTTGTCGGGGCAGCCGCTCTGTATGAAGCAGTACTATGGGCTCTTCTCCTCCTACCGGCTCCCCGGCCACACCCAGGACACGCTGGTGGCCCAGAAAAGCAGTGTCATGCCAGAGCCAGAGCACGTCATCGTGGCCTGCTGCAACCAGGTAAGTGGCCCCTCTCTGTCGCAGCCTCTGTGGCTTGGGGAGGGCGCGTGAGTACGTATCCGTCCTGATTTCACCAAAGATGCTCAGTCTCCTCTTGGAGGTACACAGTGAGCTAGGACAGAGTGGGGTCTCTCGACTCCTAGTCAGTCCCATTTCTCTCCCATGAGTTGGATTTTAAGAACGAGGAGAGCCATCAATTGAGAATGACTTCCATGGACTCCCATTTTGGCCCTGACCAGCCAGGTCAGCTGGTCTGGATGGACGGTGGGCCGTTCATGAGACCTAGCGTGGCCTCAGCGACTCCTCATGAATCACCCAGACAGTGGTCTTCCTGGAGACCACACACAGACAGTTGGACAGCTTTACGGACTGACTGTCCGGACCTCCACGTCCAGGCTGTAGCCTCGGCACTTCCATGTGTTCATCCCGCCTGATTCTACAGTGACTTGCAGAGGAGCTTGGAATCCCATCTGACAGAAGAGGAAACAAGGAAGTTGAGTGGCCTGTCCAAGGCTGAGGAGGCCTAGCAGACCTGGCCAGTGCCCCCTGCTCACACCGCCCCCCCCCCCACCGCAGCTCAGGACTTCACACTGGCTTCCAGGAGCCCACGAGGGCCCCCCCCCCCCAAGGGGACAGGTTGAGGATAAGGCCTCCTGACCGCTTACCAGTGCCCACCAGGCTACAGACTCTATATTGAGCCTCCACCTAATTATTTCATCCGACAAAAAGCTGTTTTAGGGCTTTTTTGTTTGTTTGTTTTTTGTTTGTTTGTTTGGTTTGGTTAGCTTTTTGGGCTTTGGTGGCTTTTTTGTTTGGTGTTGTTGGGGTTTTGGGTTTTGCTTGTTTGTTTGTTTTTGTTTGCTAAAACCCAAGTTTGACACCTACCCCAGAGATTCTCCTGCTATTTGTGCTACAATGTTTTCTTCTTGAGTTCACCTGACATTTGCAGTCTAAGATAGGAGCCAGTGAAAGTCTGCCCTCCTAGGTTGGCTATTCCCACCAGAAGCCCATCTGACAGTTTGGCCACAAACAAGAACTTTTCTCTATCTTCATTAAAAAGTCAAACTCAGCATTTCCCAGCCTCCACATGCTGCAGTATTCAGCCATTCCAGAAACGCTCTCAGGGCTCCTGCTCTGGACCAGGCCACGCGTATGCTGCTCAGGACATGAGACCAGGTACTCATATCAACCGGCAGAAAAGGGAGCTTAACTTGGGGCTAGTAATAAGACCTTTCACGAAGCCCATGACTTTGGCTTCAAAGCTACTGACTGATAGCTCACAGACCTCACTTTGTCTTTTTTTAAAGATTTTATTTATTTATTTGAGAGAGAGAGAATGAGAGATAGAGAGCTTTTTTTGGAAGAGGGTCCGAGGGAGAAGCAGACTCACCGCCGAGCAGGGAGCCCGATGCGGGACTCGATCCCGGGACTCCAGGATCATGACCTGAGCCGAAGGCAGTCGCCCAACCAACTGAGCCACCCAGGCGCCCACAGACCTCACTTTGAACACACACATGTACACATGTACACATGTATACGTGCACACATAGGGGTAGAACATTTTGCATGTTGTTTTCCAATTTAATCTTCCTCTGCATATTATTTGCTGACTTGCTTTATTTTCTCCACTCACTATTGCGTTTGAGAGTTATCCCTGTATCATATCTAGAGCGAGTTCATTCCTATTAACTGCTGAGTGGACATGCACTCGATGAATACACTACGTTTAACTTAGCTGTTCCCCCACTGAAAAACACTTAGGCTCTCTCTACCATGTTGCTATTGCAAATACGGCTTATCTGCACACTCCTTCACATATCTTCTGGGCACAAGAGTATATGTTTCTCTAAGCCTTAGGCTACAGTATGCATTTAGAAGAGTAATTGCTGAATCGTAAGGTACGCGCATTTTTAGTTTGGATAGACACTGCCCTCTAACAGCAGTTGTACCAATTTATACTTAATTCTCCACATGAACTAAGAACCACAGAAGCTAGTTTTATTTTAGCTAAGTTTAATCTGGCCTTCTTTGATTTGTGGAAGCTTGGAGTTCAGCACAGTTGACAGCATCGGGTAGGTCCCCAACTTGTGACTGTTCAGAGCCATCTCATACCTTGAGATCCCTGGGCCTGAGTATCCCCCATCTGTGCTTACATGTGAAGGTTCAGTGAAGGCCCTTCGCCTTGGGCTGGCTGCCATGAGTGACGTGTTTGACCTGTTTCCCCCACAGTTCTTTGTCTTGGATGTTGTCATTAATTTCCGCCGTCTCAGTGAGGGGGATCTGTTCACTCAGTTGAGAAAGATAGTCAAAATGGCTTCCAACGAGGATGAACGCTTGCCTCCAATCGGCCTGCTGACGTCAGAAGGGAGGAGCGAGTGGGCTGAGGCCAGGACGGTCCTCGTGAAAGGTTAGCAGCAGTGCCCAGCACGTCTCCACGCTCATCTCATCCTCATGCCCATTGGCTTTCCTTCCTCCAGGGTTGGGCACCATGCCTCATCCCCATTTGCCATAGCATGGGGAGCTCAGGCCTCCCTCCAACTCAGGACCCGACAGCAAGTCGGCTCAGGCCCCTGGAAACTGACGGCACCTTTTGCACCCTCATATTTCATCCGGCAATATTCTAGCTTCCTGGATGAGGCTGACTTGCTCTGGAATCCTGGGATGTCTGGGAATATTGCTGGAGGAAAGGTTTTGAGCTGGAGAAAGGCTGGCTGCAATTAAGCAGTTGTGCTTTACTGGTGGGCAAGGGCGGTACCCGTTTGAGGGGTTTGAGTCATTGGGAGGGCTGTCACATGGAGATACGGGATAGAGCCCAGCTCTGGGAGGGTGGTTGCCTGCCTCCTTCACGTGATTTCTCAGTCCCAGCGCTTTTCATCTTCAGGTTGACCCATCCTTCTGGCTGGCTACTGCCCTTATGAAAGTTCCTAAGCATTCCCATGAGAAAGATGGTGATAGTCTTAACATTTTTAAATCATCCTTCTGGAAACTCATTTTCAAATCCAAAGCCAGTCCTGGTCCCAGGAATTGGATGGAGTGCTTTCCTTTCTTGCATACATTAGAGATTTGAGGATGAAAGGCGAGGCTTCCATGCACCTCCATCTGCGTCTCAGGCTCTCATTCGGCCAGGTGTCCATCCAGATTCCCCTGAGTGTCTGTCAGCTGGGGACCTGGGCGAGGCCTGGAAAGTGTAGGAGGCAGAGGCAGAGAGGATAAAGCTACTGCCCCTGAGCAGCCCACTGGACAGGGGAAGGGAAGGCATGGGGTGGGGGCAGATTCAAGGACACAGTAATGCAGCATCCACCCACGTAAAGCAATAGAGACGGCAGGTACCAAATACGTGCTCCGGGGCTTCAGCAATGGGAGGGAGCCCTTCCCCTTGGGAGGCTTTTGAGAGGCTTCACTGGAAGAGGTGGGAATTGAGCAAAGCTCTGGGGCATGAGTGAGAGGGGCAGGAGGGAGGGATAGCATGAAGGCAGGCAGGCAGTCTGTAGGCAAAGACCGCCCGCCGGCACGAACACAGCCGCCTGGCCTGGTTCCACGAGGAGAGCGACCGACGGGCGAAAATGGCCATGCCGGAGGTATTGAGAGAATGGAAATGTGGTGGAGCCTGGTTCTCTGGCAACAGGCACTTGCCTTTTCTGATCCCTCTCCCTAGAAAGTTATTTGGCCGGGGTTCACTAGCTCCTTGCACTCTCCAGAGCTCAGCTTAGGTGTCACTGCCTCAGGCCCCTAGGGCATCCCCCACTCAACACACTCTGTCACCTTGTCCCGTTGTCTTATACTAATTGCATTTGTCACTCTCTGAAGTCAGGCCCTCATTTGTTTATGCATGCTGATTATCTGCCTTCCTTCCCTAGTATCTAAGTTCTAGGAGAACAGGGGCCTTATCTGTTTGGACTAACTTTTTAATCTGCTGTGCCAAACACAGTGGGGCCCCAGTCATATTTGTTAAATAAAAGAATGGAGGGTTACTAATGATAGTGGGCCCCAGACTTACTGCCTGCCTACCAGTTAATTATTTTTCATTCGATCATGGGGCACCTGCAGAATGCTCAGTCCTAAATCAGGGGTTGCCCGGGCCACAGGAAGGTGTGAGAGCTGATCCTGTCCTCTTAGACCTAACCACCAAGTTGGGGAATTAATAACTTATCATTGGAAAGTGAGTTAATTCCCTCAGGAGACCATGGTGTAATCAAATCCCACTCCTCTCCCCTCCAGGGACAGAGACAAGGCATCACACAGTCGCCTCTGCTTCCAATACAGTTTCCACTTTATTAGCAGGCCAAGCTATCTCCCTGCAGGACTGGACGGGATTGCCTTGAGGTTTAAGTGCTTGGGCTGTGCTAATCGGAATTAATTTGTTAATGGCACTTGATCTGGCTTTCTGAATGGGAGTGCTGTTTCAGAGGGAAGCATGACAGAGGGGGGGGGGCCCTCGCGCCTTCCCTTCAGAGATCTGATTATTCTGGTTGGCACTGACTGTGCCATCTGCACAGCAGGTAACCAGTCCTTCACAGAGCCCTCCTCCCTGCAGCAGCCCCTGCCCACAGAAGGGAAACCATTTAGGAAAAGATTTCAGTATAGATGTGAAAGATAATGGCAACTTGGACTAGGGTGGAGAGTAAAGATGAAAGACATGTGTGGGGTCCAGATATATTGTAAAGGAGAAGTGACAAGGAGGAAAAGAAAAGTGAGGAAGATTCCTAGATTTTTGATTCGAGCAACCTAGATGGTGGTAGCATTCACTGTGATAGGAACCAGGTTGGTGAAGTGGCTGCAGAATGAAGTCCTTTCTAAGTATGTCAGGTTTGAGATGCCTTGAGTCATCTAAGTGGAGATGTCAAATTAGATCTATGCGTCTGGAGCTCAAGAGAGAGGTCGGTATGGAGACATAAATTTGAGAGCATCAGCACATAAGTGATATTGAAAGTCATGGACCTGGGTGAGATCATCTAGAAACAGCAGAATGGGTCCTCAGAGGTCAGGTAGAGAAAGATGCAAAGAGGATTGAGAAAGAGCAGCCTGTGAAGTCAAATGCAAACCAGGAGATGAGTCATGAAGAGCCAAAGGGAAAGAGGAAGCGGCCAACCACTTGGAATGCTGCTGAGAGCTCAAGGAAGAGCTGGACAGAGAGGAGACTCAGAGCTTGGCAACCCTAAGTCATCACTGACCTTCACCAAGATCAGACTGGGGAGTAGGAAGAATGAATGATTGTATGCTAATGAGTGTGATCCAACAGCAGGAAGAAATTGTTGATGACACAGTCAATGAGTAGAATCAGTTAAGCGTAGATGACTCTTTTCAGGTATTTTGGTATTAAAAGAGCAGAAAAATGGGGCAGTTGCTGGGAGAGGATGGGAGTCAAGGGAAGTGTCTTTAGTAGGAGAGGCAAGCGTGGGGTTGTATGTAGACAAGTATATGGAAGTACTCCAGTAAGAGAAATTATTAGTGAGGACATTAGAGGCATGGGATTCTTGCAAAGGCAAAGGAAATGGAAATGGAACGCAGAGAATAAGAGACCTTTGGTTGGTACAGGGAAAACTGAAACCTGGGCCTGCGGCCGTGCTAGTGGGAACGTGAGGAGGTTCCTGACTGGTGGCTTCTGGTCTCAGATCAGGAGAGCCATGGCCATGAGCTGAGAGAGGTGGCAGTGGGATTCTGAAGACAAAAGAGAACACATGAAATAGCCTCTTGGAAAACTTGTTGAGATTTATGGACTCGGTTGAGCTCATATTTAAGGGCTTGGGGGTCATACATTTTAGGAGAAATTAATTAACATTGTTTTGCAATTTTTTGCCTCAGGTTCAGGTGCCCCTCAAGGTGGGTCACCAGGTTCAGCCTTGGTTGGAGAATAAAATCGAGGGAGACACGGGGAAGGTATGGCAAGGGATGGTTATAATGTTGGAATCTGAAATGAGTAAGGAGGTGTAGTAGTCTGCTTGGGCCACCATAACAAAGTACCACAGACTGAGTGGCTTAAACAGCAGACATTTATTTTCTCACAGTTCTGAAGGCTAGAAGTCTAAGATCAAGGTATGGGCACGGTTGGCTTCTTCTGAGGCTTCTCCTCCTGGCTTATAGATGTCTGTCTTCTCCCTGCGTCTTCCCATGGTCCCCCCTCTGTGCATGTTATTGTCCTAATCTCTTCTTACAAGGACACCAGTTATGTTGGATTAGGACCTCATTTTACCTTAATTACCTCAATAAAGACCCCATCTCCAAGTACAGTCCTATTCTGAGGTATTGCGGGGTTAGGACTTCAACTTGGGGACTTTGAGAGGACACAATTCAGCCCGCGACAGGAGGGAGGTAAAGAACAGAGGTGGATGATGGATAGGAGAAGTAGGTAGTGGGGTTGATGGTTTTCAGGTGTCCGTGAGACGAGATGTGTCACAGAGAAGGGATAACAGAGTGTGTCAATCAGAAAGTCAAGAGTGAGCTCAGAGTATGGGATGCTTGAATCTGAGACTTCAAAGGGGGTCAGTTCCTGGTAGTGATGAGTTCTGGTAGTGATGACTGTGGGAGTGAAGGCTGAGGTTAGACTGTCAAAGGTGGGAGATCGAGGGGCTGAGAGAGGAGGGTGGTGTGGGCTGGGTTCTCCACACAGTGGCTCAGGCTGCAGGAATGATGACTGGGGAGGAGGAAGGTGACCTGGGAGCCCAGATCTGCAATGATGGGAAGTTGTGAGGGCGACAATGATGATGGGGCTGGGAAGGTAGCAGTCTAATAGCTGCAGCTCCAAAGGGAAAGCTGGGAGGAGCTGTGCAGGTGCAAGAACAGGGAGAAGAATACCACCTACCCGTCCTGGCCCTGGGGAGCATGAGTGTGAGGGAAAATCGTCTCCTGGAGAGAGTACAGGGAAGTGTGTCCCTCAGGGGGTGCCACCCTCCTGTTGAGGCAGGAGGTGTACAGAACACTCTCAGAAGAGATCAACAGTGCAAGGGGACCTTCCATCCCTACTCAGACGTCACGAAGGGTTCGCGAAAGGGGAAAGGTGGGGGATGAGGGATAAGTCCATGCAGGGGACACTAGAGCAGCAGGGCGTGGGAGTGCCAGCCAGAGACCCAAGGATGGTGGTCATCATTGCAAACAATGCTCCCAAATCCTCAGCCTCTGGGAAGGTACTCTCCTGGGTCCAGGTGTGGTTGTGGGGGCTGGGGTAGGGGTCTGACTTGTCCCAGCAGGTGTTGTCCAGCAGGAGGCTTTGACCAAGCCAAGCTCCTATTGTCCTGGCGGAGGTCTGGACCGAGGCACCTGAGCTCAGACAAAATCTGAACTCTCATAGGGTCCACTGAGAACCAGCAGGGCAATTGATTTTATCAACCCTCTCTCCTTAGAGAGACCATCCCTGATCCTTCACTCTGCTCCCCAACCAAACAGCTCCCTCAGTCAGCTCACAGGCTCCCC